CACCCCCCATACCACCTCCCCCCCACACCCCTCCCCCCCAGCCCTGTCACTCTCCCACTCTCCCTCTGGGGCTCAGTCACCCACCCTCTCACTGTGGCTCACCCCCAGCTCCGTCACACCCCCCCCCCCCATCTCCCGGGGCTTGCCCCCAGGCCAGGCATAAGCCTGGACACAAATCTCACTTTGTAGGTTATTTACACGCGGTGCCCCCCATTAGAATGTTTTAGGGGAGCTGTGTTTGCTTTTCTTGTATCCCTAGCTCCTGAGACCTTTTCTGATGCCCCGCCCATTATTTTGCATCCATTTTGTGTACAGCTTTTACATGCCCACATATGGACATGTTGTCTCCCCTAGACAGACTGAGCTCTTTGGGAACAAGGACAGTTTCCCTTTGTCTCTGCATCCCCAAGACCTTGTAAAATGCTGGGCAAACAGTAGGTGCTTAATAATTGATGGACCATGTCACCGAGGTAAGTGACAGTGACTGGGGGGGGTCAGGGCTCCCACACAGACAGAAACCCCATCCCCTGCAGCCCTTCCCATCCCACCTTTCTACATCTCTCCTCACCAATCTTGACAGGGAAGCCTGGTGGCAGGCGCAAGGTGATAAAGTCTCGAAGTTTGGCAAAGTGGGCATTGCTGATGGCCATGAGGTCGATGATGGGTGTCACCTGGTCACCCAGAGACAGGGGGTGCTCCTCGCTCAGCCAGAGGGTGGCCTTGAACCTGCCAGACCAGCCTTGGCCTATCAGAACTGCTTAGACCCTCCACACTAGACCCCAGCCAGTTCCAGATTTGAGGGAAGCTGCAGGATCCTTTTACCTGGGATAAACCTTCCCAGGCTGGTCAGAGCCACTGACCCAGCCAGGCTTGGCCCCCAGCCCTGTTTTCCTGCCCCAGGGCTTCTGTCCTCTGCAGAGCCCGGCCGGGCACCAAGCTGGGCCTAGAGCAGTAGTACTCAGGACAGACTTGTGGAACTGGGGGTCCATGCAAAAGGGAAGGGGGAGAAAGTCTGGGGCCAGGAGGGGCCGGGGCGATGGAAGGACGAGCCTACCGCTGCACTTTGCTGGACATCTCGATGGGGCGGCCAATGTTCCTCGCCTCCAGGCTGAAGTTGGGGTCAAAGTACTCTTCCGGGGAGATGGCCGTGGGGTTGGTGGGACTAGCTGACTGGAGCACAGGGGCCTGCCCCAGCCCACCCCAGGGAAAGTGCTCAGCCTTTGCACCCCCCCACCCCAGCCCTCAGGCCCACCACCCAACCCTCTGGCCCAAGGGCGGGCCACAACTCCTCAGGCCTGACCACCCACAGACCAATGGGCCATGGGCGTGGCCAGCCCTCGCTCACCCCGTTGTGGACTGAGTGCTGCTGGGCCATCCCCAGGAAGGACTGGAAGGGCGTCTTCCCCCCTGCGTGAACAGAAGAGCCCATGAGAACAGCCTTACCTCAGCCCCCTGGCCCAACCTCTCCCTCTCTCCAGCCAGGGCCTCCTGCCTGGCATGGGATCGGCGGGTGGACAACGGGGAACGCCATGGAGCTTTCCCAACCAGCAGAATCGAAGCTCAC